AAGTAGGTTGAGTATGATCGTCCGGGTCAACGTAGTTCTAAATAGCACTGTTGTTGACAGTACAGTGACTGACGTTTCGACAACCTGTGTGGTAGTCATCTTCAGAGACAAAGTGAGTTTCTAAAATTGATAAAAAATTCTGTACACTTCGGCAAATAAGATAAGTCAGCATTCAGGATCCTCTTTGGAGTAACAGGTGTCACTCCAACTGCTATGTTTTGGTATGAAGATTTGATATGAGGAATAAGCTGAATACCACTACATACTCTTAGCTACAATGTGTTATCTTCAGCAGAAAATAATAACCTAGGATTTGAGAACCTAAATAGCCTAAATTTGTGCTAATTACCGTTAATGTAAGAACCTGTTTACGTAAAGTTGGGAAAATGCAGGTTCTTCGTCGCAAGTTTTTACTGTATTTAAATGCGAATTTCTTTATAACTGAGAGTGTTGCCAATTCCAACTCTTCTGCGCCTGCAAGTTTTGGTTGTCACTGCGCAGGGCCAAGCTTCATCTTACGTGTACCACTCTGTCAAAAGTTAGAGCTATGTTACCTCGGTTACCTACCATAATGCGAAAGGAGATTTGCGAGTTCAATAGTGAAGGATCGTTAAGATTTCAACAGCAAAGGTTCAGTTCAAAGCCAGCCGGGACAGGTTCGCTTGGGAAAAATTCTGTTAAGACAAGATTATTGCCCAACAAATTAATTCCTTTAAATATAAATGTAAGTGGAATATGATCGTCCAGGTGAGCGTAGCCCTGAATAGGACTATTGTCGACAACCTGTGCGGAAGTCATCTTCAGAATTATTCTGGGTTACCGATATATCACGTCGGTTGATCGTGGTATTAAACTCTGGTTTTTGACGTGATTGGTCAATAAGTCACGATGTTTTTTGGACGTCTGTTAGCTAAGCCATGATGTTATTGGCTTTGAAGAGAAAATGTGATTGGTGCGATTTGATCCGTTTTTTGTCACTGTTATTACAGCGGTCGTTTATTGTCAGTCAAATTGTCCAGTCATTCTATCGTTGTCAGTTTGTTTGACAATAAAGCATTTCCAGTTACAAGCAAAATTTATGCTTTTATTAATGCGCAACATTTATGTGTCGTATGTACCGTTATTTGTTATTTCCTCTCTTAAAATTGATATAAAAGGTTTTTTGTCTCACAGTCTTCAACAAATTTACTTCGTCCTTGAAAAGGGTCTATTTTTCTGGATCGCATCTTTTTCTAATATGTATAGTACATTCAACCTAATTTTTTAAAAAAATTTAAAAAAATAGATAAACATTAGAAATCAGAGTCAAAGTACATAATAGGAAGGTTACCACGTCTTTTCCATAACTGAACGCGCACAGAAAAGTGTTCTTTTTTGTCCTTTATGACGTCGGTTTTGTCATTCGATCCACGTCGAGAAACGAGTTCAGCCTCGTCCCGTCGAGGAGAGTAAAAAGTCATGTTTGATTAGATGAAAACGCTTTAGATCTACATTGGTTTGTTCTTGACGGTGTTAGAAACTTCGACTGCTTCAGAAAATATCAGGAAGGAAGGTAAAGCTCGTTTTATGTTCAGATTAAGAATCTTCACATTATTTTTTCCTGTTCAGTGGTGTAATCTAGTGGCACAAACAAAAGGCGTGCGCAAAAGCGTTACTTTTGAGACAGTAATTTTATTTTGCCCTTTCAATTTAATTATAGAATGACTGAGCCTAAAATAATAGGGCTAGGTCAGTTCATCTGAAGGAAAATACAAATTTATCGTACAATGTTCTGTTAATGACTCAGACCAGTTGAAAGAAAAACTTTTATTTGCTTTGCTTTTTGTTGCTGTGGTTACTTGTTCAAGGTAACTATTCAAGCGCGCGCATTCGACGTTACGTTAATCGTCTTTATTGTCTGCTCTTGATACTTCCACCGCGGTAAAAGATCTTAGTCGCTTTCTTGTTTTATTTGCTGGGGTTTCACTTACCAGTACGTGGAAACAAGGGAAGGACGAAAAACTAATTTGTTGACTTAACTATCTTAAAAGTTTTCATTTTTTTCTCAAAATATTGAGCATCATTCAGCTAAAAACGCTTCGTGTCCGAGTATTACATCTCTATGATGTTGGCAAAGTGACGCCAACCAAAACACCAGTTTCAGTTTTCAAACACATCCATCTAACGATATCAGTTGATATGCTTGTCTCCGTGAGGGTAGACTAAGGCCTAGGCCAGAAGTCGAACCTTTTATGAGAGGAACCAAACTCTAATTAGAGTCGACCTAAATTGAGTTAAGATCGTCTGTTGCTAAGTTTGGTTTGTCTCATGAAAAGTGCGACGCTGGCCTAGGCCTAAAAATCAACAGCATAACAACAACGTACAGTACTTACCTGGAAACGCTTCTCTAAATGAAGTAATTTCATTACGTTAATCATAAACATTAACTGCAAAGGATCGCAAACAAATACGCCGCAGACCAAAAGAACTGAAGAAGACGTGATCAGCAAAAATATACCGAGTAGCTACATTGAAATATGCAAAAGCTGATCGTACTACGTGGAAATTAACTTTGCAAGAGATAAACACGACACCGCACAACCCAAAACAGAGCGGGGTTGTAGCCGTCGATAGCTGTTTCGCCCATGGCTCGTCTGGAAGGCGCAACAATAGAAAAACAAATTAAGCTCTGCTGAGAAATACCCGCTCCCTCTGTTATAAGGCCTAACATTGGCAAATATTGTAACTACACTAAAGCAATATCTTACATCATGGACGTTAAAAGATAACAACAACAGGAAAGACTAGTATAGCAGTAGTATGGTTTCTTTTTTACCTGAATTTTAGATTCAGGGTAAAACCAAAGACGGGTCCAGGGGGAGGGTTGACTGGGTTGCAATCCCCCACATTGGAAACTTTTTTAACTTGTCTAGCTGAGGTAAAAGCTCTTGCTTCAAAGCTAGTATAAAGAAACGCTATCAAGATATTTTTGAAGCCTATATGACGGTTGACGAAGTAATTAAGATAATTCAGACTTCCAGGAATAACATTGATCGGGACTCTTAAGTTTGGAACAAATTGAATATATATTAGATGTTGCCGATAAAATAGACATCACTGAAGCCATTCCTAGAAAGCCAAGCATACAGAAGAATCTGTCAAACATCCCCAGTTCTGTCCCAGTCGATCATTA